AACCTGACTTTACATCTGAATTCTAATTGAAATTGTTGTCCATCAGCAGCTAAGAATGTAAAGTCAACAGTTGTACTTAAAATAACATTTACAAACTCCAAAATGAATCTGAGGGGCTAAGCATTGTGAAAGAAAGGGGATGGTATAAACAAAATGAAGTTCTGCTTAAGGAGGATTTTGAAGCATACAGACTTCCTTTGACAGCCTGCTAGACAATGAAAAAATTAAAACCAGGAGAAAAAGCTTTCAACAAAGCTTACTTGTTCCAGTTGTCATTTCTCTTTTGGGTATTCTCTAGCAGATCGTATGTTAAATCATTCATGACAGCAGATGTAAAAAAAAAATCAGACTTAAATAATGTAAAGCAATCAAGTAGAAGCATATAAGTGTTTAAATTTGGTGCAGTTTTCATTTGTATTTGATCGTGTATTTGAATAACACATTCCCTGTTCTTTTGAAGTCTTCTTAGGAGCTGGTAATGTTACAATACTGTCTTCTTCATTTAGATTTTTATTTACACAATATATTCATAGACTGACGAAGTGGAAGAAAGAGAAGATGATTTCTAAATGTTGAAAGAATAATAACCTTCATTTTCAGTGACTCTACCCTGTATATATACTTCTATCTCATGGCTAAATAGTGGCTGTCACTAGCTCCCTGTGTAATTTTTATATATCTGTAACCCCCCTTTTTCCTCCCTGGGTTAGTTGGGAACAGGTCACACTCACCTGGGTGCCTGATGTTTTTAACATAAAAGGAGATCCTGAGTACCCCAGTGGTGATGTTGTTTAGTTGGAGATTCCTTATCCCCCCACTTCCTGCAGTCCCATATTCCCAAAGAATATACAATGGCAGTGCATCCACCTGGCTAGCCCTGTACACACTTATGGTGTGCCTTGGGAGCCTCCAGGAATAAAGTTATTCCAATAATAACCTGGAACTAACTCCAAGTCAACAATTATAAATAAGATATATCTAAGTGATTACATTTGAATTAACACACCTTTGCTTAACAACTTAAAGAAACCGGGTTTAACAGATTAAAAGTGAACAAAATCAATTAAAAAGTACACAGGAAGAAAGGGAACTTATCCATCTGGCATTTGCACTGCCACCATTTATCCCACCCCAGAGAGTGCACTCCTCTGGATTCAGAGTCCCAGATGCTTGCATGGGCGCACTTGAAGGTCTGCAGCTGTAGTGGAGACAGTACTGTGCAGGTTCTGTGTAAGTTAGTCCTAGATGAGCAGCCACCTGCAAAATCCCTCTGCCACTGGAGCAGGCCCCACCAAATGCCAGAAGCTCTGGTTCCCTGGGAAGATCACTCTGGCTCTCATTGTACCCAGATTCAGTTTGTCTTTTGTGCTCCGTCCCAGGCAGCACTTTTCCAAATAGCCCAGTTACTCTCAGTCAACTCCTGTGTAGGTTTATGTAAGCTCTTCCCAGCCACAGCCAGGATCTCTCCCCTCCAGGAATAATCAACAGCAGCCCCCAGAGCAGCCTACAAAATCCAAGCCCCAGCAGTAACAGTAGCAGGCTTAGTAATAAACTCTAGCAGCAACACAACAGCTCCTGCCCTGGAAAAGGCTCCACACCAGCAGCATGGCTCCTCTCTTCAAAAATGGAGCCTAGCCTAACTCTCTGTCTGCATAGCCTGGAAAAGGCACTGTGCCCCCTTTTTCCTAAGGGCTCATGGGAGTTGTAGTCTCTAGGGCTAGATTGCAGCACAAAGGATTCTCCCAGTAAAAGTCAGAGGCCCCTTTAATAGGGGGACTACATATCTATCTATCTATCTGTCTGTCTGTCTTTCTGTCTGTCTATGCATGCCCTTCCACAAGACCATAACAGGAAAAGATTTATACCTCAGAGATACAATTTACTAAGTGTGACCGGGGTCCCATGGCAGGGGAGAGGGAGAACGAGCACACTGAGATTGCTTAATTAGGGCAAACTGCAAAGAATGGGGCCTGCAATCCCGAAAACTAGTGGTGGTTCTAATTTAGTGGTGGTTCTTAGATTTATCAAGCCAGCAACAAAACAGTGCCCACTATACCTTTGTATCCAGAAGCCAAAAACAGTTTTAAAGCAATCCAGCCTTGGGCTTCCTCCCAGACAGCCAAGTCAAATATGTTGAGTATTACTGAAATCTTGTTCACTATATAAATAATTCTATCAATTCCAAAGTGTCAGACACATTACCCTCCCGGCTAATGAATATTTCAGCTCTTACCCGAATTCATGTTTACAGCCAACTCTTATTAACTAAACTAAAATTTATTAAAAAGGAAGAGAGAGTGAGCGTTGTTTAAAAGACACATACCAAAACGCTATTTTGAAATGGGTTTTGTGTGTAGATGCATTAATTCGAATTAGCTTAATTTGAATTAACTATTTCAAATTAAGTTAATTAGAAATAGCACTGTAATGTACACATACCTGAAGAGAATTGGCATGACCATATATACCAAAGGAACACAATGAAAAAAGTGAACACATTATTAAACTGACAAATCAGATTTAGTACAGAAGGTGGGGTGAGGGAGAGGGAGGGAGTAGCTATTTATGAGTCAATGAATGGCTAATCCAATAAGCATAAGACTAGTCGCTTCCCTCCTCCCTCCCCCGGGGGCAGACAGGGGAGGCTGCTGCAAAGCAGGCTCTGTCCACGGGGTCCCACTGAGGAGCTAGGCCCTACCATAGATGGGCTGCTGCTTGAACAGGCGTCAATTGTGTAACAATGCCCTTAGTCAATTACAGGGCTTGGCTCCCAGAGCAGAGTTAGTGGCTTGACAAGCAGTCACTTGCAAAAGTTTGAGCGTGCCCTGGGACACAGAGAGGGGAGCTGTTTCTGGCTACATAGTATTATATTTTTAACAGTTTTAAGTTAATGACCTAATATTACATTCCTAACAAATTATATGCTAGAGGGGCAATAATTATAAATCTAAACATTTAACAATCTTAACAAATACAGGCAGTCCCCGGGTTACGTACAAGATAGGGACTGTAGGTTTGTTCTTAAGTTGAATTTGTATGTAAGTCGGAACTGGTACATATTGTA